TAACCTTAGCTGTATCCGAAACCAAAGCTAGCTGCTTTCCCAGACTTCAAAGAAAGCGTTTTAATACGAAATATATCCTAAGGGTGTCAGAGAGGCTTCCAAGACATCATAACATCTTGCAAAATGATCTAAAAAATTCTTGTGAGCTTAACAAGCAAGGATTTAGTGACGAAAATGCTCATTTGTGAGTAGAAGTTAAAAATTACAATAGCATAAATAACACTATGAGGTTGTTTCAGGGTTATTATACTTAAAGGGGACCTGACACATACAATTTCACCCAATCTCATATTAATCTTACCTATAGATTACCTATAGAGTAGTACTGCATCCTTCATATCTCCATAAAGTCTTTAGTTTTATCATATTTATAAAAGAAAGATACAGGTTTACGATTCTCTCCGAAAACATTCGAGCTCCTGGAGGCACGCTGTGGGCGGAACTAAAGAGTGACGAGCACTTGAGCACCGATTGCCAACAAAACACTTTGAGGTTTGAGGTTTCACTTACCATCTGCGGTTCTGAATCATTACCGGGATCTTTTATAGCTGGGACCGCTCCATCTTTCAGTATCAAACGATGTGCAAATCCAGCGTCGAACTGGGCATTGTTTATAAAACGTTCGTCAACAAACACACTTGCGAAACTCCGTTGCTGCCCCGGAAAACAAACTGCATCCACTATTCACGTAATGCTGGGTTCTTTATGAAGCTGAACAAGGTTATCTTTCCCTTACAACCAAAAACACACCTCTTTAGAGACATTTTTGGGAACAATCCAACGCTCTCCATTGACTTTCTATTGCGGGAAGCTGCCTCCTTGTCATGGAAAACTAATTAAAATGTTATTAAAATAGCATTTAAAATAATACATTAAAATAACTAAAATAACAGATTTGTTTAATAGAATTTTGAATATTGATATATGAAATGATAGAAAAAAATTTGTGTATAAAACTAAAACCACCAGTAGGTGGTGGTAAGTCTTATCTTTATGAGTCATTGAATCATTCATTAAAACAATTTGTTCAAAACAGGGTTATTATAGTTAACTAAAACCAAAAAGAAAAAGAAAAAGAAAAAAAGACCTCAAACATATTTAATGCTTGAAATAAAATTAAAATTAACTGAAGTAAAATACTTACTTTATTTCAGCTAGACATTTCTCATTTTGTCTACCTAAATATTGATGCACTAAAATTAAAACTGAAATAAAATAAGAATATAAACTATATAGGCATATTTTTAAAAAACTGAAATTAATAAAAATGACAAAAATACAGAACAAAAATTTTAACTAAAATTAAACTGAAATTGGAAAGTATAAAAATAAAAGGTATTAATAAAAACTATAATGATATTGTCACGATCCGGATGTGTGGAGGCAGGCAGGATGACGAGGACGACAAGGATTCCAATAATGACTTTTAATGTAGACACAACAAGGCAGGTACAGGTAAGTGAAGCACACACACTCAGGGTAACATTCACAATAACCGACACTCAAGCTCAAACAGACAGGAACTAATAAATGGTAGCTAATTAGTGGCAGACAGGTGAGCACAATGACGGTGATTAACTAATGATTAGACGGGCTAAACCAACACAAAGGGAAGAAACCACAATAAACAGTCCACAGGGGCGTTACATTACTCCCCCCTCCCGGAAAGTGCGTCCTCGCACCGTAGAAACCGAGGGAGGGGTGGAGGGGGACTAGGAGGAGGACCGTCCAACGGTGGCGGAGCAGGTGGTGGAGGAGCCCGAGGCGAAGATGGAGACTCGGGAGGCCATGGCGGAACAGCGGACTCGGGTTGCCATGGCGGATCAGGGGGCTCAGGAGGCCATGGTGGAACAGGGGGCTCAGGTTGTCATGGCGGAACAGGGGGCTCGGGTTGCTATGGTGGAGCCGGGGACTAGGGAGGCCATGGTGGAACAGGAGACTCAGGTTGCCATGGTGGATCAGGGGGCTCAGGAGGCCATGGCAGAACAGGGGGCTGAGGTTGCCATGGCAGAGCCGGGAAATCAGGAGCCCTCCGTGGGCTTAATGGGGAAACAGGAGCCCTCCCTGGGCTTAACGGGGAAACAGGAGCCCTCCCTAGGCTATACTCGGGAACAAGAGCCCTCCCTGGGCTGAACTCGGGAACAGGAGCCCTTCCTGGGCTGAACTCGGAATCAGGAGCCCTTCCTGAGCTGAACTGGGGAACAGGAGCCCTCCCTGGGCTGAACTCGGGAACAGGAGCCCTCCCTGGGCTGAACTCGGAATCAGGAGCCCTTCCTGGGCTGAACTCGGAATCAGGAGCCCTTCCTGGGCTGAACTGGGGAGCAGGGTAGCGCTTACCTGGCGCTGGCACTGGAGGGTGCTCTGGAGGAGCAGGCACAGCAAAGCGCTTTCGAGGAGCTGGGACTGGAGTGAGTTTTGGGGCTGGAGCCGACACTGGAGCGAGCGCTGGGCTTGCCACATTATCGTCCTTTGGGCTTGCCACATTAACGTCCTTCGGGCTTGAGTGAGCCGCGGACAGCGGCGGACTGGTTCTGGCTCGGGACCGGACACAGGAGCCCTTCCTGGGCTATACTCGGGAACAGGAGCCCTTCCTGGGCTGAACTCGGAATCAGGAGCCCTTCCTGGGCTGAACTGGGGATCAAGAGCCCTCCGTGGGCTAAACTGGGGAACAGGAGCCCTCCGTGGGCTTAACTCGGGAACAGGAGCCCTCCATGGGCTTAACTGGGGATCAGGCTAGCGCTTACGTGGCACTGGCACTGGAGGGTGCTCTGGAGGAGCAGGCACAGCAAAGCGCTTTCGAGGAGCTGGGACTGGAGTGAGTTTTGGGGCTGGAGCCGACACTGGAGCGAGCTCTGGGCTTGCCACATTATCGTCCTTCGGGCTTGCCACATTAACGTCCTTCGTGCTTGAGGGAGTCGCAGACGGCGGCGGACTGGTTCTGGCTCGGGACCGAACACTCCCCAGACACCTGAAGACACCTTTCCTCCAACTTAGTCCAGTGGTGTCTGGGAGGTCCACGGGGCGATGGTAGTTGGCCCCGAGCCAGAACAGCTGAGGATAAGGACGCCGTCACCGCTGCGAGCTTGCAGAACTCCCCAGCATACTCGTAGAAGGGGAGATCTCGGCGGGATATGGTGAGGAAACGAGCAGCGATCGCCATGTTGTTGTTTTGGGTCAGTTATTCTGTCACGATCCGGATGTGTGGAGGCAGGCAGGACGACGAGGACGACAAGGATTCCAATAATGACTTTTAATGTAGACACAACAAGGCAGGTACAGGTAGGGGACACCCACACACAC